GGGCTCCAGCATCTTCTGATGGCCACTCCATCCAATTCCAATGAAAGTGGAAGTCACTTCTACATGGGTCGGTTTTTCTTTTTTTAGATTTTAACTGTGATTTTGTTTACCAAAATAAGGTTTTAGCTGTGTTAGTCTGTGCTAGCAGACTTGCAGCAGCTTTTGAAATTTGACCAAGGGTCTCCTTGAAATTGGACTGACGGCCACAGGTCATTTAACTCTGTCCACAAAGAATGGTAGAGGCAACATCTTTTAAAAAATTAAAAGTTGAAGCCATTCCATATTACTATTCGGAAATAAAAGCTCTGTTGGATCTGAAAATACATGCTTATCAACAGGAAGCAAAACTAAAATACCTCTAGTTCACCTGGTCTCTAGACCCAGTCATGTGGCTTCCAGATGTGATGGGCTACTATTCTAACCCTATCGTCAGAGTTGCTGCTCTAAGTGCTTTCCAGCTGTATCCGTCAGGACCACATTATACACTGCACTGAAACTCTTGTGCCAAGATAATCCAAGTTCATTGCTGAGAAAACTGGGATATTGCCATGAAGTAATACAGTTTAAGCCTATTTACATCAGTTCAGCTGCTGATTTAATCCATTTTTGAAAGTCATGGAGCAAAGCAAAGAAAATATATAGTCCACCAAATTAATGCACTGATCTTCTATCCCACCCTCTCCTCCGTGGCTTCTTTATACTGGAAGGTATATTAAAGATAACAAGAGATTTCTTCCTTTTTGATGGGCCTCTTAACAAGGTGAAGGAGTTCCAATGTGATAGAAGAGCTGAGAACAATATTTTCAAAAGGCTAGACTTAATTACAAATTTAGACTCCTATCAGGGTTGCCCAAGGCAGAAAGGTCAACACCGAGACACCATGTCATATGACCATTTAATAATCAAATAAACCATATAATCAGAAGAAAAATTTAGAGAAGTAAAAATAAAATAGATCATGAACTATTAATACAAAATTAGGAATAATAAAGCTAAAGAAGAACAGTAAAATAATCATAGTACCAAAATATAATTTAGATGACATTCCTGAAGAATTTACAGACCATGTACAGAACTAATTTGCATTTCTGAACTCTTTTTTCCCTGAACCAGAAGAACTATGGATTGAAACTTTAAGAATTCAAAAAGACTGTTGCTGTAGCCAGAAGAAAAGTCTCCATAGATTACCGATGAAACTCTTAAAATAGGTGAATTGGCCTAACAAAAGAAGCCAAGACTCAAGCAGGGTTGTTAATGATAGGATCTTTGGAGGTTTATTAATTCATTGGCCATCATAAGTCAGAAGCAACTTGAAGCACATTACAGCAATATTGGATTAACTGTACCTTGATCCAGAATAAACTAATTCAAACTGAAATCCTATTCAAATGAATAGGGTACGTTTGAGATTCTTAAGCATCACACATATATATCTGTATGTATACCTTCTTGTAAGATTGACATGAGATTTGAAGGCACATCCCATTGGTTTTGAGGTTAGATGGTTTAAAGTTTCTGGAATTCCTGACGTCTCTCTTCCCCTCAACAAAAACAGAACTGAATGCAAGTCAATCCAACCTATTGCTGCCCAATTGAACATTCAATAATGGTTTCTCATTTGAAGCCTGCTTTCAGATTTGAATGATAAATCCTGGAAAAGCCCTGAATGATTTCCTCTGTTCTTTCATTTTTACCGTTAATGAAGGTTTTGCCCTTTTCATTCATAATGAAATGAAGTATTAAGCCTTTGTTATTTCTTGAGGGAAGAATCCAAAGTTCCTTCTTCCATGCTGGGGTGGGGGTGGGATATGTGTGTGTTTCATTATTGGAAATCAATATTGTTGGGGGGGGAGGCAGAGAATAGTGTTAAGAGACCAGCAGATGGGCTGATTTTCTTTCTCCCCATTCCTG